CTACCAAACATCAATTTAGTAACATAAAGTGCAATAGCAATTTGAAATTCATAATGAAACTAATATGATTAAACGAAATTTTTACAAAATAATATAACTTACTTCAACTTCTAACACAAAAGTTTGTACCAAATCTGATATTGTTTTTCTGATAGAAGGAACAGTCTCTGAAGTTTCTTCAACCTGCTCAAATTTTCTAGTAAGTAATTGAGGTTGAATATTGAAGCTACCAAATCTGACCCAAAAACAGTATCTAATTAAATAAACAATCTGTCCAGATATTAAAGAACTTAAGAAATGGTAGAAATCTTATATATATGGAAGAATTTAAATTACCTGTCTAGATATTGTTTCACTTCAGGGATGTCAAGATTAACATAGATCTTTGTTGGAGACATGCTAGCTCCATGAATTTCTCCTTGCAAATCACATTTAAATTGGTCAACAAATGTAAAATAAAATTCTTTAATATAAAATTTTATAAAATGAGCTATACCATCAAATTGTTTAGTAGTTAAAGAGGTAATAATAACAATTTGTGTTGAATGCTTTTCCCAAAGTTTTAACTCTCGTATTTGCTGCTTTGCTTTTCCCCATAGACTAATAGAAAATTCTGCTTCCTTACAAAATAATAATAATGCATTAATTTTTACTCAACACAACCCCACCCCATAGACCCCATAAAACTCTGCTTCCATGCAAAATTTCAATTAAATAATAGAAAGAAAATGTTACCCAAATCATAGATAAATTCAAACTTTTATCAATTATATAACCAACAAAATTAAATTTCATATAATAAACTAACATAAAAAAAATAAGTAGATACTATCAGAAACATAATTGAAAGTCCATTAGTATTATCACTTACTCAAAATCCATCAACCAAATTTCAAATGGCAACTTTGATCCTCGTGCACTGTAGCCTACCTCCATATCATCAATTTTGGTTAAAACATCAATTAGATCTACATAAGACATAATATAACAATCTCAATTAGTCAAAACTAATTATATGAAGTATGAAAACTTTTATGAAAATCTTAATCTAAAATAAACATAAAAAATTAATAAAAAAAACCCAAAATACCTGTTAAATATGTTAGTTGATGCAGTCTTTCTTTGCACTCTTGAAAGGACTTGAATTCAAATTTATGAGGTAATATAAAAGCAACATTTTCACTCTCAAGAAGGAATTTTGTAGCACCATTAACCCGTATTCTAATATTAGATGAAACATGCCTATAATTTAAAGATTGCACACATCCGAAATTAGTGATAGTATAAATTTGATCTTCTTTCAAATTTTTTCTGTGAATTTGGGCATACTTTCTTTCCATAACAATATGGATAACATCACCCTACAGAATTAGATTCACAATGACATCAAAACTACAATTTAAATAAAGAAATTGAAACCTAAACAGATAATAAAAATCGAAAACTTTCCTTACCTTCTCATCTATTGCCACAGCATCAAGACCAAAATCTTTCTTATCCTTAGCATCAGTACCTGCATTCCAAATTTGACTTAATCAAACACGTATTCTACTTCCAAATTTATTATTGACTAGAGTGCTAATATATTCTCTTCCTTTTTCCATTTCAATTGTTCCAAAGCAAACACAAATCTAAATAGAAACTGGATGAAATAAAGGCGCATGTAATGGGTAGTTTTCTGCAGTTGAAAAGTAATATGAAGCAAACGCATAATACTTGTTGACTCAATGCACTCCAAGAGGGGGGGTGAATTGGAGTTGGAGAATTTTCACCTCTTTGCAACCACCAAACAAAAATTAAAGAGAAAGTGGAGAAGAAGAGCTTGCACAATGATTTTATAGAGGTTCGGTCCAACCATTTGGAGCCTAGTCCTCTACCTTGGCTTCACTCACCAAGGATTTCCTCCACACTCTCCACTAACAAAAACAATGGTGGCTTAAAGGAGCCACTCAATCCTTTACAAGAAAAAGGGTGTTTCTCTCAAATCTCACCCCTTTACACTTAAACCCCAAAGATCCTCTCTACAAATCACTCTTGAAGGAATCAACACACCCCCAAGATCACTCACTAATAGCACAAGAAGAGGTTTACAAACAAAGATCTCTCAAAGATCAAAATCTCTAATTAAAGCTCATGTAGATAGGTAAAGATATTCAATACAATACTCTCTAAACCTTTTCAGATCTGTTACCAACCATATTTATACCCCCTTGCTCGAAAATAGCCGTTGGAGGTCATTAAATGCTCTATAGGACGCAAAAGTCGAGTTGCAGAATTGTCAGGAGAGCTGGCTTAACATTATAGAGCCGACTCTACAGAGCCGGCTCACATTTCCAGAGTCAGCTATCCAGGTTTGCATGCCATTCTGTTTTCCTCGAGAGCTGGCTGTAAGACTTTAAGCCAGCTTTGAAACTCCGACTTTAAATACATTAAATATTCTTCAAAAGACTCGACTGTTGTGCATTAAATGCACCCTCACAGTCGGCTATAAAGTTGGAGCCGGTTGCAGCTTCCAGAGTCGACTCTCTGCATTTCCATTTCACCAGAGCCGGCTGCACTTTACCAGAGCTGTCTCTCTGCACATTTTGAATCCTTTTGGTCTATTTTTAGTGTAATCCAAGTTTACTTGCAATCTTTTAGCAACTTAACTACACACTTAAATAAACCAATTAGTCACTCAAATGTGTTTTGTAATCATCAAAATCATAGGTACAACAATACTGAAATTTAGGTACAGTTCAAGAAAAATGATAGAGCGGGAAATGGCTGTCATGATGATAATATGAAGCAAACGCAATATATTGATGATTTTAAAGTCGTTTTGGGACGTAGGGTTTTTCTCAGTCGTTTTGGGCTATCTTAGCCCATTTACCCTGCGTTGGAAGCCCATTTCACCATCGTTTTGCTTCTGTGAAACTGCTTATATACTCTTTACCCTTTTTCATTTCTGTTTAACGAAAGCAAGAGGAATTCATTTTTTTGTAAAATTTAGCCAAAAAGAAGCAAAAGGAATTCCTTCTGCAGATATGTAAATAAAAAAGGAAGATGAAAACAATTGAGAACCAACCCAACAAATACTCATCTTTGAAATAGCTAGCAACTCCAGCAAACAAACCCAAGAAACCGAAGGTGGAAATAGCAAACCTTTGAAGGAATAGCAAATCGGCATAGCTAAGCAATCTGAAGGTAGCAGAGGAGGTGCTAATGGGAAAGCTATCGGTGATCGAGAGGTATGGTGGGTACATCTTCCCCAAGTAATTTGTAAGGCACCAACCCAGTATTCACCAGGCAAACTCCAACGTACAATCCAGCATATATAAGCAAGCTTCCCAAGATTCCTAATGGTAAATGATGTTCTAATTATCAAAATCAAAACAGAAAAAAAGAAAGAATTATTAACTCCCACGACAGAAAAACAGTCGAGATCGTAAAATAAACCTTGAATAAGACAAAATAGCATCCAATTGGTATGAACTGAAAATAAAATACTTGAGGCTTCCTTGATTCTTCAGCTGAATTAGCAACGGCATCAAATCCAACATATGCAAAGGATACCGCAGCGACGTCTCTGAATATTGCTTTAAACCCATTCGAAGCAATTTCTAGCGAGGAACAATAGAAGCGTAAAACTAATAGAAACATATTGATAAAACGGCAATTGTGATTGTCGTTTTGGGCCACCTAAGTCCATTAAAGCTACCTTGGAAGTACTATTAATAATAAGGATTGATGATAAAACGGCAACTGTGATTGTTGCTTTGGGCCACTTAAGTCATTAAGGCTGCCTTGGAAGCGCTATTAATAATAAGAATAAGGATTGATAGCATTCAATTGATCTGAACTAAAAATAAAATACCTGGGGCTTCCTCAATTCTTCAGTTGAATTAGCAATGGCATCAAATCTAACCTATGCAAAGGATACCGCAGCGGCGCCTCTGAATATTGCTTTAAACCCATTCGGAGCAATTTCTAGCGAGGAACAGTAGAAGCATAAAACTAATAGAAACAGATTGATAAAATGGCAACTGTGATTGTCATTTTGGGCCACCTAAGTCCATTAAAGCTACCTTGGAAGCGCTATTAATAATAAGGATTGATGATAAAATGGCAACTGTGATTGTCGTTTTGGGCCACCTAAGTCCATTAAGGCTACCTTGGAAGCGTTATTAATAATAAGGAATGATTAATAAAGGTTTATTATGTAGTAAATAATGGGAAAGATCGATTATAAAAAAATGGGGGGATGGAGATCACAATATTGTTCTCTTTAGCCTCAAAAAAGTATATTATTTTGATCTCCTACCCCGATTTAATAGTTTAGACCTTATGTTAATCTAAATCACTTCTCGTAGGTTATGTATTTGAAAACCCAACAAATTATTTTTTCCAATCTCCTTTTACTTAATGTGTTAATTTCTTTTCATTCAAAAAATAAAAATACATTGTTCTTAACTTTATGTCCAAATTTAATGTATTTAAAAAATGAAAAGTTCTTTCAGAAATTAAAAAAAAAATTAGAACATAAATAAATTGAAAAAAGTGTTATATAATCAGAGTGCATAATGTAAACCAATAGCTCAGACAGGCCTTCTAGATGCAAGGAGACTCTCTTAATGTCATATACTTTGTATCTTACAATGCAAAGTAATTAAAATTACAAAATATTATGCTGTAAATAAATATATCAATGAAATAATTGTAAGGAACATCATTTCACTCATATATATGAAACACATTACATCTACTTGTTATATTCCTTTACAAACATTTCTATGATCTTACTAATTTTCAAACCACATCTGCTTATGAAATCTAAGTTAAAAAAGGAAAAAGATTTCAAGACCTTTTTTTTTAATAACTCCAACGTTGAACCTATTGGAGAAAACAAAATTAGAAAAATTAATTAACATATTCCGGTTCTTTTCCCCTTTGTCTTTTTGGAATTAATAATATGTTTTTCGTTTCCCCAAAAGGGCCAAAACACACTTTATCTGCCCTATATGATACTAGTAAAAATTAGTACTCGTAATTACTCTTCGGTTAATTTAGTGGCGTCCACGGTTAATCATTTCCTTGGTACTGATTAAGCGATTCCAACCTCAACAACCTCATCTCCTCGTTGAACTTCTTTATAAATGCCTCAACTCGTCGATTCTACTCGTCCTGACTCAGCGACGGTTCCTTTCTCAGCTTCAATACTGAAGCCGGGGACGAGCTCACTTGCATCGGTGACATCTGGAAATTGGTCTGGTCCTTGGACGTTTCCGATTTCTTCACCATCGGCGACGGCTCAGCGAGCGAATCCACGTTCACCTAATTCTCCCATGTGTCCTCGAACGTCTCTGATTTCTTCAGGTGCCTCGATAACTGCATTTCCTTCTTCGCCGTAATCATTTTCCACGTGCTCTCCATCGTCTCGTGCCGTTTCGGCTTCTCAACTCTCAGCGATCGACCACCTAGTTAACAACAAATAGAATATACAGAAAGAATTATTAACGAAATTAACGTTTTGTCATTCTTGATTCTGAAATTTAAACATGCAGGGGAAGGATATTTAGGACTTTTGAGCAGTGCATCAAGCAGACGCCATTGTTGTATGTTTTGAGCAAGAAAATAAAGTTTCTTGTGAAGAACACAAAAATCAAAAGCCCCGCCAGAGAAATCTCACCAACGACGACCGAAAAGCCTGTAGAGTCCTCTTTTTTTTTCTCTCATTAGGGATTTCCACGTCTAGTTTCTCCTTTGGCCCCTCGATTTCGTTTTTGTCCTTAGCCGACCTTATTCCTTCGTTTTCACCTCGGATTTGCACCACCATGTGCGACGGTACCTCTAGGGCTTAAGCGTCTGGGGAAGTGAATCTCTGTTTCCTAATTTTCGACCAGGTCAGTATCTCTACCTTTCTGAGAA